AAGGCCACATAGCTGTAAACAGTGGCAGCAACACCAGTAGGACTTTCTACCAATGCCACTGAGAGCATTTCTGACGTTTTCTACATCCCTTCCCTGGGTAAACAGAGCCCTGGCTGGTGCAGATCTTGAAATTCTGGATCACATTAGATGTCCTCTGCTAAGCTTTCCTTTAGACAGACTCAAACCGATCACTGATGGCTTGTGTGTGGTCAAATAAGCAGAGAGGGTGTTTGTCATATTGTGTTACTTGTGGAATTCACTTTGTGTGACACACGAGTTCTTGGACATTTGTGTGCAACAGAACTTTTTACTTGTGGAAAGGGAGAAAAACTGAGTACATCTTAAGTTCATCCCTGGAATTTGTTGCTTAAAAGTATTCCAAAGTGAATTAATTTGTGAAGTGAAGGATTCTTTTAAAATATGAATAATAACCCAGCATTTGCATTGTAAGTTTGGGTTTTCGAATAATAAACAAGGGTGGAGAGCAATTCAAAATTATATGCAGGATTCCACATATACTTCTTCTTTCACTGAGAAATGTTCTAATGAAAGTTTCACCTGGACCATCTTGACAGTGAGTTCTCTGGGAGGTCTACAGATTTGTTCTCTATCCAGATGGTGAGTTGCTAGAAGCCCAGTGCCCCAGCAGTTACTGGTGTATTCAGGCTTGACTTGGGTATGTTTTGTAGTCCGTGATCACACGGTGAGCCTCTCATGGATGGGGCTCAAGAGTTAAATGGTTTCTTAGATTAAAAGACCCTCCCAGCCTTGAAGATTCTTTAAATTAAATTTGTTACATGACTATAGACTCAGAGATTTCAGCTGTGCTGGTGGGAAGGGCCTTAAAAGTCACCGAAGTCTGGCTCTCTTCTGATGCTGAATCATGTGTGAAGAATTGTGGGCAAGAAACTGTCCCATGTCTCCTGGACACCACCCATGGGACAACCACTCACCTTTCCACTCCATAAGTATGAGAAAGTTCTGCTCAATGTTCATGTGGAATCCGCCTCCTACAGTTTCCGTCAGCTGTTCCTCTTCGTTCCCACAGATGTCTACTCCTGCATGTCAGTTCTTCACATAGTTGAGGCCAGCCGTCGAATCTCATGTAGCCCTTCCCTTCTCCAGGTGAAATAGCCTCGGTTTCTTTGGCTGTCCTCGACCCCCTCGTCATTCTTCAGTGGGTGTCCTCTAGCTCATCCTTTTCTTCTGTGCCTGGGCTGCTCTGGTGTATTCCCCATAGGAAGCCCTCTTTCCTGAGCCTTCCTGGACTATTCTGAGAAGTCTGAGGCCCACGGGAAGTCTCTCCCTCATGGGTCCCATTCTCCTCAATTTATGTTTTATTCCTTAGTCTTCAGAGGGATATATATCCATTCTTTCTCAAAGTAACACTTCCCCTTAAAATCTAGAGCTATTTTCTTTCCTACTTCTAGAAACAGTGCTTCTTATTTTGAGTTCTGAGGTTCCCTCACCCTATGATTTAATATTTTCCACCTTCCTTCCTTTCACCCTCACACATGCAGCATTCTCTCCATATTATCGTCTCTGAACACTGTCGTCCCTTCCTCAAATATCTTTCCTCCCCCTCTAGGGTTAGACTTCTGAATATTTGTCTTGACAACTACTTCCCTTTCCCTCAGCCAGAACAACACTGACCTCCCACAGTGGTGACTACTGCTGCCCAGTTGGAAGTTACCTTTGTGGTTAGCTGGCTCGGGTCTTTCCCTGATGCCCAATGCCCTTCAGCAGCACTCCTGACGTGCTCAAGTCCTGCCACTCCTTCTAATTACCTGAGACTCATTCTTGGAGATCAGATGTCTTCTCCTCCAGCTTGTGCTTTATTACCTGTCTTCAGTGTTTGGCATATGACTTTTTTTCTGGAAAGTCTGGAAAGTTTGACACCCTGTAACTATGCTGATCATTTTCTTTCTTAAAGAGTAGTTACTCCTCTTCTTTCTCCAGCCCCACTTAATGGAACCCTTCAAGTCTCAGTGCCTTTTCTACACTCTTGCTGTCCTAAAGCTTGTCATTGTACACAGCGTCAACTGTCACTTTTATATTAAGGGTCCCTGAACCTGTACCTTTAGTTTGGTCTCCCTCGAATATCACATTTTCAAATGCCTCAGGGATCATTCTACTCGTACCTGTACCATTGTCACTTCAAGTTCATCACCACTCCGCCAGCCTACTCACACCTCAACTTCTGCCACCTTTTCTTGTCCTCTTTCCTCTGGCTGGAACCAATCAGTCAACACATGATTTCCCTGAGAGTCTCTCTTCACTTAGAGCAGAAGGACTGGGAGAACTAACAGTGTCTAGTTAGGCACTGTGCTCTGCATACCCTGACCCGATTTACACTGGAACCATCTTGAAAAGTAAGTGCCATTATCTCAATTTTTAAGGGTTAAGAAATCAAATTTTGAGAACATGAGCATCTTACTCAAGGACCCTCAGCTCTTGAGTAATAGAATCCAGGGTTCAAATCAAGGTCTGTCTGATTCTAAAACCTAAGGCCTTTACTATATTGCCCTTCTAGCTTATCACCTTGCCTTGGGCACATCACTATAAGCTCCATCCTCATACCGGCACCAGATTCATTTTCCCCAAATGCCTCTCAAAGTTACCTACATTTTCTCAACCATACTCTGGCTCCTCACTGTATGTAGGATCAACTATGCTCTCAAGACCACTAGTGAGCCCTCAGTACTGTGGCTAATCAACCAGATTTCTCATTATTTTTTAAGTGATTTATACAATCACCTGCCCATTCCTCTCCTTCTACCCCTCTATCTCCCATGATCATTCCTGGAGGAACATTTCAGCTCTTCCCAGTCACACCCCTGCTAACCTGTAAGTCTAGCGCCTTCCATTAGTGAAGTCTTTTCTAGCTACCACAGCTCACGGTGGTCACATATCACATTCTCTTAATATAGATGAAATGGCCTCACCTGCAAAATTTTGACCAAGCAGTAGTTTTATTTACTGTCTCGGTATTTCCATCCTCTGTTTGAAAATAAGCTCCTTCAGGGTAAGGATCATGCTTTATGTTTCTTTTGTATTGCCTACAGAGATGGATACAAATGAAATAATGTAGGAGAAAATGCTTGGAAAAGTATAAAGTACAGTATAACCAAAGTATATTATTCTTGAAATTACTAATGCTATAAACATTGGCAAAATGTGTTTAGGCACAGGTTCAGCGAACAGCAGAAACTTGAAGGATTTGATAAATAAATCAAACCCAGAGTCCCTCCCCCTCCTCCTCCCATTTAATCCTTTTTTTTAACATTTTTTTATTGAGTTATAGTCATTTTAGAATGTTGTGTCAAATTCCAGTGTAGAGCACAATTTTTCAGTTATGCACGAACATACATATATTCAGTCACATTTTTTTTTCCGTTGTGAGCTACCACAAGATCTTCTATCTG